TCGGATGAGTTCCCCAGCCCCTGCCGCTGAAAAACAGCCCCACAGCATGAGGCTGCTACCAGCACACTTAACTTTTGGGATGGTACTCTGCAGGTGTTGAGCAGTGGCTGGTTTCCTTCAAACATGATGCTTGGAATTGAGGTTCATCCGAGCAGATAATATTATTTCTCACAGTCTTAGGGTCCTTTAGGTGCTGTTTTGTAAATTCCAAGTGTGTTTTCATGTGTCTTCACTGAGGAGAGAATTGAGTTTGGCCACACAGCCATAAAGCCCAGATCGGCGGAGTGTTGCAGTGATGTTTGTCCTTCTGTAGGTTTCTCCTATCTCCACATATGATCATGTAGCTCAACTAGAGTGACCATCAGCTTCTTGTTCATCCCTCTAACCAAAGCCCTTCTCCATCAATTGCTCAGTTTGGCCAGGAGGCCAGCTCTAGGAAGAGTCCTGGTTGTTTCAAACTTCTTCCATTAAGGGTAACAGAGACTACATGCTTCTATGACCCTTCAATGAAGCAGTTTTTTTTTTCTGAACTCTTCCCCAGATGTGTGGCTTGACGCAATCCTGTCTCTGAGCTCTACAGGCAGTTTTTTTTTACCTCAGGGCTTGGTCTTTGCTCTAATATGCATTTTCAGCTGTTAGACCTTTTATTAAGACATGTGCCTTTCCAAATCATAATGTCATCATGAATTTGGCACAGGTTAACTTCACTTGACGTGTAGTAACATTTACAAGCAATATGAATGCTCCTGAGCTAAATTTCCTACGCAATGGAATCATTTAAGTTTTTTATTTTTAATACATTTGCAGAGATGTAAAAAAAACAGTTTTTTGCTTTACAATTATGGTGTATGGAGTGTAGATTGATGTGGAAAAAAAGTAATTTAAAGCAGTTTAACATAAGGCAGCAACATAACAAAATGAAGGCACTGTGTATATATATATATATATATATATATACTGTATATGTATGTGACCCTGGAATCCAGTGCATACAGGAATATTTGTAGCAACAGCCAAAAATACAGTACATTGTATGGGTCAAAATTGTAGATTTCTCTTTTATGCCAAAAATCATTAGGATATTAAGATCATGTTCCATGAAGATATTTTGTAAATTTCCTACCGTAAATATATCAAAACTTAATTTTTGATTAGTAATATGCATTGCTAAGGACTTCATTTGGACAACTTTAAAGGCCATTTTCTCAATATTTTGATTCGTTTGCACCCTCAGATTCCAGATTTTCAAATAGTTGTATCTCGGCCAAATATTGTCCTATCATAACAAACCATACATCAATGGAAAGCTTATTTGATGTATATATCTCAATTTTTAATCTAAAAAAAATTGACCCTTATCACTGGTTTTGTGGTGCAGTCACACATATATATTCAATAAAATCATAATAATATTTCACAATATTACTCTTTTTGCTGTATTTTGACATTTGAATGGTAGTGTATATTTCCAAAAGCATGATCTGTATAATTTGTCTCAATGCTAAATAATAAAATACGACCTCAGTTTTCATGTTAATCAGGTTGCTACACATGTGATATCACATTATATCATTACAGCCATTAAAATGCTGTACAAATGTTAAACAAAATCAGAATGTTTCGATTTGGTCAACTGATCTCTATCTTCTAAACAATCCTCGCCTGAAGAGGTTGAGATGTTTGACCTAAATCTACCCTTGGAGTCCTAATTGTAGCCCATGAAACACTTGAGCCAGATGCTTGGAGAGTTTCCCATCTAATGTCCGAGGCTGCGTTGGATTACTGCACAGTTAAAGCACTGGCATGAAACTTGATTAGAGAGGAGAAAGAGAGCCACATGGACAGCGAGACGAGAGGATGGGGGCCGTCTCCGTGTCCTATAAATGACATTGTAATTTTCAGTACATGAATTTTATTGTAGCTTGTAACCATTAAAGGGAGGAATCAGCTCAGATCAAGCTGCTCGAGTGCATGTGTGCATTTCCGAGTGGTTTCTTTTATGCTGCAACAGTAACCTATGACAAAACAAACCTCTGTTTAAATCAAAAACACACTGACATTGTTAACACAGGGTTAATGACAATGTCAAAAGATGCTTTGCCGGAATTACAGCGTGTGCAACAGGTCAAACCGAGCCAGAAGATAAAGGTTGAATGGATTGTGTCATGCGCCATTTGCCCTTCACATGTGAAAAGTGATTTTAAACTTTGCCTTTTAACCCTCTGGTGCTGTTTAGTCATTTCTGACTGCAAAATTGGTAAAGGTTTTGGCATTGCTATGTGAACACAAAAAATCATGGATATGATTTAAAAAAGTTAAATGGTCCTGAAAAAATAGTCACACTTCGTCGTACTTTAGTCGTACTGTTCATGGTCAATAATGACTGCACTGGAAATGAATAGGAAGCGAAATTCATCTAGTGAGTGTTTGGTACTGAAAACTGATTTTTTTGAGATATCAATATCAAATTTGGAACACAACTTGTTTAGATTTATGGCTTTGATTTTCACGCATTTTGAGAGTAAAACATGTTTTGGAAAAATATATATTTCATATAAATGTACAAATAGAACTTTTGTGCATTTTTAATAATAATTAAAACATTTTTTGTTTCACTTTTTAATGTCAGTAATCTGCCAGTTGTCTTCTTTAAAAAGAGACCAAGCAAAGCATTCAAGTTTATATGACAGTTTAAGTTGGAAATGTTATGCTTGTGGTGAACAGGTAATAAATGAATCATAACTATTCCATAAATATAGTAGTACTTTAAAAATCCCCTAAAAACGCAACATATTAAATAAATTATTGACTTAAAATTTCATACATTCATTAAAAAACAACAACAGCCAAAAAAAAAAAAAAAACAGCACCAGATGGTTAAAGGATGAATTTATGGAATCATTATGCAAAGGTCAGTGCTCAGAATTGCCTAATATCACAGCAGAATCATATTTTAGTACTAGAAACCTGCTAGAACCAGGACTTTTCTGTCCAGGCCCTCACACAAAGGTTGTAGATTCAGTCGACTTGACTACAAGGAACACAGTTATTACACAAACCCATATTATCAACAGTACAGAGCAGGAGTCATGGCGTATGCACCACGGTTAGCGGAGGTGAAAGGGGTGAGGGGTAGACTGAAGGAAAGATGCGGGTGGGCTGCTGACCCTGGACCGGTGTAATACCAACCTGACAGACTGTTGCTCCGATCTGAGCTGTTGTGGGAGCTGGTGGTGCTGAAATCCTGTGATTGGTTGTGCGGCATTCTATTACACAATCCATCAGCCAATCGGTAGTCAGGAATGAAAAGGAGTGCTAGTGGAGGCGAAGGGCAAAAAAGTGGCATCAGGTGGAGGGCAAGATGGCACAAGCGCATGCAAGGGCGTGCAGTTAGAGCAACAAGCAAAGCACTGATCTCACACACAACTCCTACTGTATTTAAAAATCCTATTCTTTCTAATTTAACCATGCTTAGACTCAATTCTTGAAAATTGAAAAATAAATACAAATAAATGATTAAAACTATTTTAAAACAAATACAATTCAAATAAAAGTATTTAAATGTATTATTTGTTATATATTTATTATAAATAATTATAATGCATATAATATATAAAATATTACTATATACATTTATTGTTAGTAATAATGTTAAATTATTTATAATGATATTAAATATAAAATACTGTAAAAAAGAAATGTATAACATAACATAACATAACAACATAATATGCTATAATATACAAGTGGCTGCCTTGATAAAGTGTTCTAAATCATTCACTTACAAGGCTTTCTTTCTTTCTTTCTTTTGGTTAGGATGTTGCCTATTTAGGTAGCAGACAGCATGGCAGCTCACTAGGCTTTGGAACAGAGCCCTAATTGCTTTAAAATCTCTCAATTTGTCTAGTTTCTAGCGTCTCATTCAGAGGTTAACATCATACATTAGTGCTAATTTTCCTGGAATTAATTCTATTTGTTGGCAAGTTAACCAGTTCATGGAAACATTTATACTTGTGATTTACAGTAATTTCATAGTTGGAGGTTTATTTAAGTCCAAATGAAAGCGGAAATGGTTTTTAATTGCGTTAAGGAACATCTACAATTTATCATTCTGCTCAACTGCAGAGAATAAGTTCATTATTATGGATAATAGTACTTTTTGATTAAAAAAAAAAAAAAAAAAAATCCAGTGCATTTGTCTAAAAGCTTTTCAAAATAGAATAAATCTTGGCTAATGATGTTACATTCTTTTAGCCTAAAGACAATTTAAATAATAAATGCGGTTGGTCGGAAACACATTCAAGGGTCATGGATTTTGTTATGGGCTGTGTAATAAGATACACAGTCTTATTGTTCCTGAATGTCAACTAAATGCAACATTAATACAACGATGGTCAAATTAACACTGATACAAACCTCAGGCAATATCCAGAAATAGAGCAGCTGGCTTTGTTTCAAACGATTTTGGACGCAAATAAAACACACAAACAAGCTCACACACACCCCCGCGGCCCTTCAGCCCGACTCACTGTTGTTGCAGGAGTTCTTGTCTGGCAGTGAGTAGCCCAGGCTGGCCATTTCCTGCTTGGCCTGTAGGGAGGTCTTCCACTGGGCCTCAGGCAGATCGACGGCCAGCTCGTGAATGCTGTTGGAATGGAGGATCTGGGTGGTGGCGTAGGGCGTGGCCTGGGAGGCGGGGCTTGGACTGCCAAATCCACCTTTGGTAGTGAAGTCGATGCTGCTGTAAATGGCTCCGTCAGAAAGCATGGTGCCCGTCTTATCGGCCTGGGTGCTGGGCATCACTTCTGAGTGGAACAGGAAGATGGAATACAAGGAAGACGAACGAGATTGTGAGGTTGATATGGTGAAAAAGTTGTCAATTTTCCAAGAACAAAATATTTCAGTGCATTTAAATTCAATGCTCTTTAACAACAAGTCTGATATATTCTTATTTTATTTTAAATATTACGTATTTATCTATTTATCTTCAGATTCAAGTCAATTTTTACATTTTTGAATACCCCAACAAATTCACACAAAGAAATAATACTAAAATAATTCTGGAATGGGAAATTCTGGAAAATTTGGTATCTAAGGCTATGTGAAATAGAAATAATAATAACATAATAGAAATAACAATATAATAGAAACTATAAATATATGCAACTACAAGAATACTTAATAATAATAACAATAATATAAATTATAAATATATACAACTACAAGAATACTTAATAATAATATATATAATAATAAAGTTTTAAAATACTAAATCAATAATAATAATACTGATGATGATAATGATAATAATAGTAGAAATAGAAATGATAAATATATACAACTACAAGAATACTTAATAAAAATATCTAATAATAATAATAATAATAATACTAATAATGCTCAGAAAATTATGGAATTCTGACATTGTGGTATCTGAGGCGGTGTGAAATATCAACAACAATAATATTAATTTGATAAATTCTAAAAATATTCAACTATAAGAATACTTAATACATTAATTTATAATAATAAATAATAACAATAATTAAAAATACATTTTAATCAATATATTGTTTATTATTATTTATTACATACTATATTAGAAATTACAGAACGAGACAGATTAATCATACTGAAAGTTTGTGGATATGCAATATTTTTGGTGTGAGCAGGTCTTTAGTTTCTTTTCATTCTTTCCCTTTGACTCACTGCTATACTATATTCTCTTTGCATTTTTGTCTTTGCACGTGTGAAGGAGGTAATAATGCTGTAACTCTACATGTGTGAGTGTGTATATGTGTGTACTGAAGAGAAAATGATATACAGCAGCTGCATCTACACCACTCAAGCTGCGGCTGTCCTTCACGACTCACTGCTCCACCACCATCTTTTCCTCTCTCCCCCATCACCCCTCTCCTCTGCTATCGGGCCTTCCTCTGTCTGACAGTGGGTCAGAACCACAGCCATTCGTTTCAGTGTGACAGCAGGATGCGGGTGACGATATAAGTCTGTCCCAGCGCATGATGAATAAATGTGTGCATCCAAAAATGGCCGATGCAATATGCATACAGGTGTTCATCTTACGGACAACACCAGGACACCCTGAATGAATCATCGCCCATGAATATAAAAGGGGAAGAGGACATTTTCTTTCAACTGATGGCGACAGCTTGCTTTTAACACTTTGAACTCTTGACTACAACCGATGTCACCAATTTAATATGTCCTAAATTCCTAGCCAATGCAGCAATGTGTCTGAGAGTGGATTTACCTCCACGGCCAAAGTTGTTGAGGTCGTTGGGTCCTCCAGAACCGCTGTTCACAGTCAGACTGGTGGCCGGCCAGGAGTCAGCGAGCCAGGGGTATCCCGAATCACTGGCATTCAGCAGACCAGGACGACTGCGGGAACACAAACCATGCATGTGACACTTCATTCCCTAGATTCTGACTTTCCACAGTTTGAGCAATCAATTTCCATAACTTGCCAACTCATTTGTGATTATTGGATATGGATTTGACTGAAACAGGCAGAGTATTTTAATAATGGCTCACTTATAAATTAAGCCTTGTGAGTTTATGAAAGTTTCATTCATAGCTCTATACAGCAGTGCATGGAATTTGCATATGTATAATCAGCACAGAAATTTAAAAATGCTAAAATTAATTGAAATAAAAATTAATAAGGTACAACATTAGTAATTTGCATGACATTTCCAGGCAGTTATTTCTTTCTTTCTATCTGATTTTATTATTATTATTATTATGAACTGAAGGTCAAATCTAATTTTATTTCAAGAAAACTATCTGGGAATATTAATAATAATAATAAAAATAATAATAATAATAATAATTATTATTATACAATTACATGTATATGACTAAAAACAGAATTAAAATAAATAAATAAATAATAATAATAAATCATTAATATTCTCATATTACTACTACTACTACTACTACTATTAGTAGCAGTATTATATTTGCTCAGATAAGTATGGAATTATGAAATATTGGTGTCAGTGTGAAATTATATTATATTATATATATTAATGTGTTTATAAATTATTACATATATTTATATATGTAATTTATAACATTTATATATGTAATTTATACAGCAATATTATTATTATTATTTTTTTATTATTAATATTAATACTACCACTACTACTATTAATACTACTACTACTACTACTACTAATAATAATAACAATAATAATAGGCAACTTAAAGTATCTCTTAAATGACCAATAGATGTTTAGCGGTGTACAAATGGGATTTTATAAATATTTGTATAAAAACTTAAATAAAGACTTACATTTGTGTAGGTTCAGTAAGGTATAGCAAAATAATAGAAATAGACCAAGAATAAATTGGAACTAAAGTTTAAAATACAGCAGAACAAAGTTTTGTGAGTCTGTTCTTCATCTGTCTGTCTCAATCTAATATTTTCCTGCAGGATTGAAAAAAAAGACGGAATTAAACACATGAGAGAAATCTGCAGGGAGTCCAAATAAAGACATAACACAAACAAATGAAGTGCATGACGTTCTCATGGCATCTCCTTTCAACAGAAAATGCTTATTTTTGTCGGATTTTTTCCTAATGATTATCACATTTTCCAATGTAGCATCTATTTTTATTTGATAAAACACTGGTAGTGTAGCAGGGCCCACTCAATATCTGAGAGATTTTTTTTTTTTTTTTACATTTAAACCTGGAAATTATCAGAAAGCTTTAGGATTTTAAACAAAGACAGCATTTTTCATTGTAGCTGTGTAAGAACACACACAAAGCGAACGCCCTTTTCCGTACATGCCAACACACACCCTCAATTAACAGATCACCCTCACTATAATACACCATCTTCAGCTCAGCGAACTCCTGTGTTTTACAACACACTCCTCCACATCTGACAACCGCGCGCGTGTGTACGAGCTCACACATAGGAGGTTTGATTTAACAGGTGCTGTGTGTCTTCCCGAGGGTGTGTGTGGCGTAAAGGCATCATTAAGACTTTAAGCTGTCACGGGTGAGTGCTGTGGGCCATTACCACCACTTTACTGTGCAATCACCTCGCTGATGCTTGTTGCCATGGGCAACAGATGCTGAGGAGAACTTGTGTTTTTACCCCCATCCCTTCATTTGTGCTGCTAAAGCCACACTCCCACTATAAAAATGGCTGTTCATGTCTCTTCAGAATGAGCGTAGATGGAAATAACGAGCCATTGGTTGAGGAAGGCTGGGAATGTAACAATAGAGGAATGGAGAACGAGTGGAGAGGTGGATGAATGAAGCGCTCAAGGACTCCTTCATTTTTCGGCCCACATCTCTGTATTTCACCTTTCATGATTGTTAGAGGAGCAATCTGTGGTCATGGTTGTGGAGACAGAGCAATGCCGGTGCGAACAGGAGATTTTGAAAGAACACAAAGACATGAGCGGAAACCAAAAGACATTTTTAAAAGCGAGTCAGTACACTCAACGGCCATCTTGGTAATGAATGTATGCACTCATGTGTTGTTCCAAATAATAATAATAATAATAATAATAATAATAATACTAATACTACTACAAACAACAACAACAACAATAATAGCTATTGCTAAAATAAATAAATGCTTTTCTAAAGATTGAAATTATTATTCAGTCACTAACCCAACCATATGTTGTTCAAATAAATAAATAAATAAATAAATAGTTACTGTTATTATAAATATACACATAATTAACAATTAATTATTAATTATATATGAATTAATTCAATAGTTTTAGTTGTTTAATTGTTAATTGTAATTCAGTAATTTAATAATAATAATAATAATAATTTATTATTACACAAATAAATAAACAAATCAACAAACAAACAAACAATTTTCATAATCCATTATGGCAAGCAAGCAATCAAATAAATAAATAAATACATAAATAAATACATAAATAAAAAAAAAGTTATTATAAATATACAAATAATTAATAATTAATTAAATATTAATCAAATATTTCATTTGTTTTAGTTGTTTAATTAGTTTGTTGTTTAATTGTTAATAGTAATTCAGTCATTAGATGATAATAATAATAATAATTATTATTATTATTATTTTTATTATATATTATTATTATTATACAAATAAATAAATCAACAAACAAACAAATAACGTTCATGATCCATTAAGGAAAGTCAGTAAACAAACAAAGTTTAGCTAATACACCGCTGTTCTGTTTAACCAGGAATATATATATATATATATATATATATAAGTAAATACATTTTCAACTTGCAGTTTGTATAAACAAACAAACAAATAATAAATACAGGTATGCACTTAAAAGTCTATAGTACATGCATATTAGACCTATAATATAACTTTGTAACTTATACTTAACTTTAAACACAGCTTTAAAAAGGCTTCATTTCTGACAGCTGCCATGTTGAGCATTGTAATATCTCCTATTCATCTGACCTTGTTTGCCTGGTGTATAGTGTCTGACACAAACACGCTCATCCAAAGACTCAAGCGCCGATGTGCATCAACACACCCCAGTTGTCTTTGTCTCTTTTCTTTCTCTATTTCACTGTGACTTTCTCTCTCGTCTCCTCTCACTCCTGCTCTCTGTGGAAGTACATTTGCCCTGAGGTGGCTCGTCTCCCCCAGGCCCGGGGAACAGTGTGTTTGCAGTTTGTATAAACAAACAAACAAATAATAAATACAGGTATGCACTTAAAAGTCTATAGTACATGCATATTAGACCTATAATATAACTTTGTAACTTATACTTAACTTTAAACACTTCATTTCTGACAGCTGCCATGTTGAGCATTGTAATATCTCCTATTCATCTGACCTTGTTTGCCTGGTGTACAGTGTCTGACACAAACACGCTCATCCAAAGACTCAAGCGCCGATGTGCATCAACACACCCCAGTTGTCTTTGTCTCTTTTCTTTCTCTATTTCACCGTGACTTTCTCTCTCGTCTCCTCTCACTCCTGCTCTCTGTGGAAGTACACTTGCCCTGAGGTGGCTCGTCTCCCCCAGGCCCGGGGAACAGTGTGTGGTTTTCTGAAGCCGGGGGCAATATACCGGTAATGGCAGTGTAGCAGCCCGCCGCTCGCTAAGCCACAGGTTTTAATAAGAACCAGCGGAGCCCGAATGGAGGGTCTCGGGCCGAGGAGGCGGGGGTCCTGACAGACTAAGCACCCCCTGATGTGGCAGCTGAATGCCAAAACAGGCCCTCAGGGGGGACGAGTCATTCAAATTGATGGCTCCTCCTCAGACACGTTGACTTCTTATAGGGTAATTCGTCGAGGGCTACTCAAACCTCCCCCCCTCCACCTCTGCATTTCTTCTGTCTGAAAAACAATCCTGCTCTCTGCACACCTCTACTGAAATGCTCTTTGCTACCTGTTTACAATCAGGTCCTCTCTTTACCTTCGCTGTTTTGGTTTTGTTTGGCCCTCAGGTGATCTTTATGAGTTACTTTTCTTTTTCAAGTGTTTTTCTCCTTCCATATTTAAAAACAGCTTTTTTTTAAAAGCTATTTAAAAAAAAAAAAAGTCCTGTCTTTGAAATAAATGTGCATGTCATTTCAAATGATTTGTTTTGTTCATGTTTTATAAAAATGTAATGCTCTCTGCACACCTCTACTGAAATGCTCTTTGCTACCTGTTTACAATCAGGTCCTCTCTTTACCTTCGCTGTTTTGGTTTTGTTTGGCCCTCAGGTGATCTTTATGAGTTACTTTTCTTTATCAAGTGTTTTTCTCCTTCCATATTTAAAAACAATAGCTATTTTAAAAAAAAATGTCCTGTCTTTGAAATAAATGTGCATGTCATTTCAAATGATTTGTTTTGTTCATGTTTTATAAAAATGTATTATGGAAGCCTGTTTCTGCCCTAAAGTAAGAAAAAATTAAGTAACTGCTTTTATTTAAACTGATTTTATTTCTCATAATTGTGACTATCTATGACTGCATTTTTAAATTTACTTTAAACAAAGTTTTATTTATTATTTTAAAGGGGGTAAAAAACCTTATGTTACTTTAAAGGAAAAAAATATTTTCTTTCATATTTCATCAAAATATTGTATGATTGCATTTTCTTCTTTACTTTTAATTTACATTTTTTATATTTATTTTAAATATATTTTAATAATTTTAATTTGTTATTTTAAAGAGCAAATCGTTTTCATTCATGTTTCATTTATTACATTTCTGCTGCTCCAGAGTAAGACAAATTAATTGTAATTTCATTTCTCATAACTGTGACTTTCTGTATGACTGCATTTTCTTATTTATTTTTTTTCGATTTATTTTTTATAGATATTTTACATTCATTACTTTAAAGGAATATTGTCATTTTTCCTTGTTGTTATCTTAAAGGGGGGAAAAAACAGTTTTCA